TATGACATAAGCATCACTTGGGTATTGGTATGAACCGTTGACCATGAAGTGTATGACATAGGCATCACTTTGGCTTCGGTAGTATGCTAAGATAAGGCTGAAAGCCTAAATATTCTAGCAAAATAATATTCCTGAGTATTTTCTGTGACATTTGTGCTGAAATTTTATTGATTTTATATCAAGTATGGAAATTGTTATGTCTCATTGATTGATATGGAAAGCTTTTAGCATTATGCCTTTGTTGTTCCTTGATCCTCTTTGCCTCTGTCATATTGAAGTATATATATGGCATAACGTTATATTGTATCTATTATTGAACTCACTAAGCGTCACCGCTTACCCTCTCAATGTTTAACAAATTTTGCAGGAGATAAGTAACCAGTGTAGTCATATACTGTTGAAAGGTTTAGAATAGTTGTAATATTAATTTTGTATTTAGGGATCATGTTTGTATAAATTTACAATATCCTGGGTAGTTATGTAAAATATTAAAACATAGTCGGTTTGTATCCAATCTTTTGTAATGACTTTATCAATGTAAAAATATTGTTTTATGAATATGCATGTAGCATGTTATGGAGTAACTTTATTGTCTAGTATGAAAGTTTAGAAAGGGGTCCTTTCAATCATGGTATCAGAGCAGTGGCTTAAGTGAACTAAATTTCATGGATTGGTATTTAGACTTAAACTATTGGAAGTTCAATATATGAACTGAATCATTGTAAATATATGGATACAAACCATAGGAAACACTTAAGTGGGGTATTGGGTAGTGACAAACCCTAGTATTCTAAGATATTAAGTTACTCCAAGAATTTTAGAGAATTAGTTTATGTAAACTGGAATTTTGAGAATTTCTAGATTTAGACATGAATTGTTAAGTGATGATACAATATGTCTCTAGTATACTTTAGGTTGAATACCTAATGGGGTAAGCACTAGAATATTAAAAGGAGATATGTCTTATATTCTATTAAGTGCTAAATGATAAGTAAATATAGCATGCCTTACGTTGCTTAGCTATATTGCTATTATTTGAGAAAGTTTAAGGTCTGTTGCCGACCTTGGGATTCCCGAATCCCCGATACTTATTTTGCAGCCCGAAACACGCCCCGGGATTCCCGAGAAGCCCGAAAAATTTATCTTTTCGGTTTCGAAGCCCAACCCTCGCAGGGCCCGGTTTTCAAGAAAACTCCCGGTTTTCAACGAAGAAAGTCATATTTAGAGCCGAAGTGCTGCCCAAATTATTATTTTGACCCCCGGTTAATTCACGGTGAGTTTAATATATAGGAACAATTGTATGTTATGTGTTATATGTGCTATGTGCTTTTCCATGTTATCATCTCGAGTTGTTGTATCTACTATTTTATAGCAAGGCTGTACCTCTGACTTGAAGTGTATGACATAAGCATCACTTGGGTATTGGTATGAACCGTTGACCATGAAGTGTATGACATAGGCATCACTTTGGCTTCGGTAGTATGCTAAGATAAGGCTGAAGGCCTAAATATTCTAGCAAAATAATATTCCTGAGTATTTTATGTGCCATTTGTGCTGAAACTTTATTGATTTTATATCAAGTATGGAAATTGTTATGTCTCATCGATTGATATGGAAAGCTTTTAGCATTATGCCTTTGTTGTTCCTTGATCCTCTTTGCCTCTGTCATATTAAAGTATATATATGGCATAACGTTATATTGTATCTATTATTGAACTCACTAAGCGTCACCGCTTACCCTCTCAATGTTTAACAAATTTTGCAGGAGATAAGTAACCAGTGTAGTCATATACTGTTGAAAGGTTTAGAATAGTTGTAATATTACTTTTGTATTTAGGGATCATGTTTGTATAAATTTACAATATCCTGGGTAGTTATGTAAAATATTAAAACATAGTCGGTTTGTATCCAATCTTTTGTAATGACTTTATGAATGTAAAAATATTGTTTTATGAATATGCATGTAGCATGTTATGGAGTAACTTTATTGTCTAGTATGAAAGTTTAGAAAGGGTCCTTTCACATATCGAGATTTAAACATGATATTGAAAAGTTTAATGAATATCAAAAAAAATCTAGGAGTTTTCAATATATTTAAAACTTAGCTTTAATTTGTTTTTCATGGCGGAAATTAGTGAATCGTCATTCACTTACCTTCAAATTATTTACTTGTTAGATTACGGCATCCCTCTTCTAATTTGTAGATAATGTTGTTGGATCCTAGCCCTAATTTTTCATTTGGGTGTTTAATTGGGGATTCATTTCTAATCAAACTTTGTTTTTTTCCTTTTCAGATGTCGAACGTCACCAACAACGCTTCTGGTTCAACTTCCTCTGGCTCGTTCTCACTCATGAATTTGTGTGGGAGAGTGATCTTTGACGCGTCCAATTTCAATGATTGGATCCGCAACATTCGAATGGTCACTCATTACGAGGACAAAGAGTATGTCCTCGATGAAAAGCTAAAGGAGATTGACATCAACACTGCCTCTACTGAAGAGATCGCGGCCTTTGAGGCCCACGAGCGTGATGCCACGAAAGCCCATTGCATCATGCTGGCGACTATGACTGTAAAACTCCAGAAGTCCTATGAGGACATGTACCCCTATGAGATGCATCAAGATCTGCTGGACCGGTACCACCAGAGCGCTAGGCAAGAAAGGTACGAGATCATCACTTCGATGATCACTACCAAAATGGGTAATGGAAAGTCCCTTACCGCTCATCTGCAAAAGATGCAGAGATATGCCGATCGCCTGCTAAAGTTGAATGTGAAATTTGATGAAGAGCTGGCAATCGATATCATCCTTCATTCCTTGCCTCCCTGCTATAGCCAGTTCCGCATGACCTACCACATGAACAAGGAGGAGGTCTCCTTGAGCAAGCTTCAAGGCTTGTTAAGGACTTCTGAGAGCAATCTCAAGGATAAGTATGTTGCATCAACTCCAACTCCCGCTGCTGCCCCTGTCTTGGCAATAGGGCAAGGGAAGGGTAAGAAGAGGAAGGCTCCCTCAAAGAGCCACCACAAGGGAAAGTCCCAAGATGGTACCTCTTCTAGTGGAACCAAAGTTGGTTCTGCTAAACCCAACTCTAACCCTAAGGAGGCAGAGTGCCACCACTGCCACAAGATAGGGCATTGGAAAAGAAGCTGCCCAGAATATCTGCAAGCTATCAAGGATTGGAAGATCAAGCCGTCTTTCACAGGTATTTACACTATTAAATCCAATGATTCATTGTGTGCTATTTCTTGGGTTCTTGATACAGGATGTGGTTTTCACATATGTTCTGATTTGCAGGGACTAAGAAGAAATAGGGATGTAGAGCGTGGAAGGATAAACCTAATCATGGGAAACATAAGATCGTCTCCTGTCACCAAGATTGGAGTATATTCCTTAGTTCTTAGTAATGGATTAGGTTTAGATTTAAATAATTGTTGCTATTCGCCAGATATGGCAAGAAACATCATTTCATTTCATGGGTTATATAGACAAGGATTTAGATATTCATTTGATAATGAAAAGGGTTCTATTTATGCTTATCTTAATAGTGTTTTATATTTTGAAGCATTGCCTTGTAATGGAATACATGAGACTGTGATGGTTGTAGATAACTTAGGAAATGATGTGTTGTGTGTTGATTCTTCCAATAGTATGGATAAGGCATGCTTGTGGCATTTTTGTCTTGGACATGTCAACAAGAAACGAATAGCCCAACTCCAAAAGGTGGAGTCATTCGACCTTAAGGATGATGACGTGTGCGAGTCTTGTTTACTTGGAAAGATGACCAAGTCACCCTTCACTAGCACTTGTGAAAGGAGTGAGGGTTTATTGGATCTCATACATACCGATGTATGTGGGCCCTTTAGATCCACCACAGGGGATGCATGTCGCTTCTACGTGACTTTTACCGATGATTATAGCAGATATGGCTATATCTACTTAATCAGACACAAGTCAGAAACTTTTGAAAAATTCAAAGAGTTCAAGCAAGAAGTGGAGAATCAGTTGGGCAGGAAAATCAAGATGCTTCGATCCGATCGAGGTGGAGAGTACCTAAGTCTTGAATTCCACGACTACCTCAAGGAATGCGGAATCGTTTCGCAATTGACGCCACCTAGGACACCGCAGTTGAATGGTGTAGCTGAGAGGCGTAATCGAACCTTGCTAGACATGGTTCGTTCCATGATGAGTCGTACTTCACTACCTATCTCATTCTGGGGGTATGCCTTAGAGACTGTCGCCCATATCCTTAACTTAGTCCCTACAAAGAAGGTTACCAAAATACCTCACGAGATGTGGACAGGGAAAGCTCGCTCATTGGCACATATCAAGGTTTGGGGTTGCGAGGCTTTCGTAAGACGAGAGACTCACGACAAGCTCGAACCTCGTAGTGAGCGGTGTATTTTCATCGGCTACCCATAGAAGTCCTTTGGATATCTCTTCTATAGACCGAGTGACAATGTTGTCTTCGTTGCGAGGAGAAGGGTTTTCCGAGAGAGAGAACTCATAAGCCAAGGGGATAGTGGGAGGCAAATTGATCTTGAAGAGCTTCAAGAGTCGAGCGATAAAGGAACCTCTAACGCTGGCGCTCAACCCGAGGAGCAAATTCCGGTTGAACCGATTGACGAGTCCTTACCTCTTAGACGTTCCGAAAGAGTTAGGGTTCAACCCCAGTTTTATGGTTTTCAAATTACTACAGAAGGGGATACGTTCATTAGTGATAGTACGCCAGTGAATTTGGACGAACCTAACAGCTATAAGGAAGCCATGGCAGGCCCGAAGTCTATAAAATGGAAAGAGGCTCTGGACATCGAGATTCAGTCTAATGTACCAGGTCGTAAGACGGTCGGGTGCAAGTGGATCTTCAAGAAGAAGACCGACATGGATGGGAATGTACACACCTATAAGGCGCGATTAGTTGCGAAGGGTTTCACTCAAACTCCCGGAGTTGATTATGATGAGACCTTCTCACCAGTTGCGAAGATATAGTCTATCAGTGTGATGCTAGCCATTGCTGCATTTCATGACTATGAAGTATGGAAGATGGATGTCAAAACCGTCTTCCTTGACAGGAAGTTGGCTGAGGATGTTTACATGGCTCAGCCAGAGGGGTTTATCGATGCGAAGCACCCTAATAGAGTGTGCAAGCTTGAGAAGTCCATTTACGGACTAAAACAAGCATCTCGCAGATGGAATCTTTGTTTCGACGAGAAAGTCAAGGAGTTTGGTTTTCTGCGAAGCGAGGATGAATCATGTGTATATGTCAAAGCCAGTGGGAGTATAGTAAGCTTCCTCGTATTGTATGTCGATGACATACTACTCATAGGGAACGACATCCCGACGCTGCAGGAAGTAAAGTCATGGCTTGGGAAGTGCTTCGCTATGAAGGACCTCGAAGAGGCTGCCTATATTTTGGGAATAAGGATAGTGAGAAACAGAAGTAAGAGACTAATAGGACTTAGTCAGAATACTTATTTGGACAAGGTGCTAAAACATTTTAGTATGGGAGAGTTACCAATCCAAAGTAATGCCAAATTGAGTAAGACTCAGAGTCCAAGTACCGAAGTCGAGATAGCAGAAATGAGTCGAGTACCTTACGCTTCCGCAGTTGGCTCAATCATGTACGTTATGACTTGTCCTCGCCCTGATGTGGCCTTCGCTTTGAGCATAGTCAGCAGATATCAGGGGAACCCTGGAAAAGCACATTGGACCGCAGTCAAGAATATTCTTAAGTACCTTCGAAGGACCAAGGAATGGTTTCTAGTCCTCGGTGGGAGTGATGACTTAAGAGTGCGAGGGTATAGTGACGCCAATTTTCAGACCGACAGAGACAACTACCATTCGCAGTCGGGCTGGGTCTTTACCTTAAATGGAGGAGCAACGACTTGGAAAAGTTCCAAGCAGGAGACCGTAGCTGATTCAACGTGCGAACCAGAGTATATAGAGGCAAGCGAAGCGTCAAAGGAGGCAATATAGTTGAAGAACTTCATTGGAGACCTTGGAGTTGTGCCAGCCATAAAGGAGCCCATGGAAATCTTCTGTGATAATGAAGGAGCGGTTGCCTTGACCAAGGAACCAAGGGATCATGGCAGATCTCGACATATCGATAGAAAATATCACTTTATTCGACATCGGGTGGAAGAAGGACTCCTTGTAGTGAACAGGGTATCGTCAGAGGATAAACCAGCAGATCCGCTTACGAAGGGACTAAGCAGGGTTAAGCACTTGCAGCACGCTAGGAGCATCGGGCTAAGGACGATATTAGTTTAGATTAGATAGTTTAGAAACGTGTAATAGATAAATGTAATTGACATTTGATGATTAAATAAAAGAGTATTATATATAAGTAAAGTACTGCTTTATGTTAATTGTTTAGCTATTGTTTCATTTTTGCATGTCATGAATTGGTGTATAGATTTTCTAAAGAGTATTAGACATAGCAAAAGTTTGCTACAACGTTCATGAGTGCTTATGAACTTGATTTGAGCATTGGAATAAACCCACGCTTGCTAGAATCACTTCATGGAATTCATCACGAGTGATCGCAAGATGATAATATCATATGGTCTTAAAACCTAGATATACGGTTTATTGTTTGCTAATTGGTTGTGCATTGATAATGCGTAAACGCATCAGAAACTTGATGTTATAAAACGCATTGTTGTGTATGATTTGATTAGTGGATAGTAAATGCATATAAGTCGAAGTTTATCTGTTCCTTTTATCCTAAGAGGGTAAAAAGCGATATCAGGGCCCCTCGATGATTTGATTTGACTTATGTGTCGGGCCCGGTCAGGACTGAATTGATGTGTTCAATTAAGTTCTATGTCAAATGAATCAGAGATCGAGACACTAACTGCTGGACAATAAGTATGACTATGTTCCATGTAATTATCCGTACGATATCTAGAATAGAGGATTATACGATCCCTTATCTTAAGGACAGGTTATTTGTGACATCCCCTTTTTCACGGCTAGAAAAGACCGATTTAATTTATGCTTTTAAAATAAAATCAGAGTAATCCTTTGATTTAAAAGAGTTGCGGAATTTGTTCCCAAAACAAAATGTGATAAGAATTTATGAAAGCATTTCTTTAAGGAAATGTATTTTTCATTATATAACAAAAATCTCGGGATGTCATGTTCCGATACAGACCAAAAGCATAAACAATACTAAATAGACCTTACAACAGTTATTTACAACTACTGATCTATAATTCAAAATATCTAGATAAGTCATCCAACTTATGATCTGGTGCCACTTCCTGTAATATAAAGAAAAACTGAGTGGGTCAGGCTTGGGGGCCTGGTGAGCATATAGGGTTTTCAACCCACAATAATATAATTATTATATTTAATCATCAAACAAACAACCCAATTACCCATCCCCATTATCTTCTTTATTTCTTAAGGATTTACCATAAGAATCAACTATCATTTATTCATTCATTCCTAAGGATTGACCTAAGGAATTGGCACAAAGTCCATTGCTACCCGAGGTTCCTATAACAAACACTAAATCCATAGTTGCCAAGGTTCATCTACACATTACTAAATCCATAGCTACCATGTTTCATCTACATAGTACTAAATCCATAGCTACCAGGGTTCATCTACATAGTACTAAATCGATAGCTACCAGGGTTCATCTATACAATACTAAATCCATAGCTACCAAGGTTCATCTACATAGTACTAAATCCATAGATACCATTGTATTTATATAAGACACTAAGTCCATAGCTGCCAGGGTTTTTAGAGTACACCGGTGAACATCAAGTCCACAACACCTATAGGTTGCGAGCCTGCTAGTGTTCCACAGGACTGTCTAGAATAGTCTGTGGTTGTCATCCCTACTCTGCTAAATGACGGGGCCATCGTTTGGGTAAAGGCTTCAGGAGACGTCATCTCTGAGTTCACGTTGTGAACCCTATGTTCACGTCGTGAGTTCTGACACAGTGTCGGGGTTCGTGCCCCGAACTTCAGAAATTCATATCTTTCACATACGAGCTCCGTTTTTTACGTTCTTTATATTCACGCATAGATGATATTATGATCTACAACACTTGTTTAGACTCAGTCGGCTAATTTTGACTTTATTTTTATTATACTATTCTTAGTATGCCGGGACAGGAAAACTCCGTTAGAAATTCATAACTTCTTCATCCGACGTCCGTTTTCATCTGTCTTTTTACCGTTGGACTACTATCGATGAGATCTTCGATTCTCGTTTAGATTGTTTCGGCTAGAAATTCGATCTCATATTCGAACTTTGGGCTACACCCCGCTAAGTCGAAACTTAGAAAAATCATAACTTCCTCATACGAAGTCAGATTTAGACGTTCTTTTTATGCACACTCTCGGTTTAACGTATTCTACGACTTTAATTTAGATTGCTAAGGCCAAATATCACTCTATCGTAAATTCACTATTTACATCGCACAGTGTCGTGCCGGTTTTGTCGCGAAACTTCGACAGATCATAACTTCTTCGTTATAACTCAGATTTCAGCGTTCTTTATATGTACAAAATCCTTGTAACATATACTACAACTTAGTTAAGATTACTCCTTCAAAATAAACTTCCATCAAAAAGTCATTTTTGACGCTTATCGTCTCTAAATTGACTAGCCCTGATCTACGGGCGTTACATTATTGATATGACCATTTAGGTCAGATTAACATTCATCCTCTGAGTCATTACCGAAACGATGATAACGAAATATATGAATAAAACATAATCAATTACTAGCTTCTTGGTAACCTTGTGACTTTCCCTAATAGGCTACACCACATGTTACGATTACACAAAGGTTCAAGTTCACCCTATACTATGCCTCTAATAGGCTACACCACATGTTACTATTCACATTGCTACTTCATAACTTGATCTTTGGATATGAAATCCTTATTCCTGATTCCTCGCGTTATTGTCTGCTTCGTCGAGGATCATGTGGAATGCCCTTGGCTTTGGCTGTGCCTCTAGCCTTGCTGCTCCATTTTTCTTTGGGCAGTCTCTAGATATGTGCCCCTTGCCTCCGCATTCGTAGCATACCTTATCATTTTGTGTACATTCGTGGAATAGTAGCCGATCCTTCCACATTTGTAACAGGTTACTTCTTCGTTGCATGTTCCAAAGTGCTTCTTCCTACACTTTTCACACCACTTTGCTCCATACCTTTGGTCATCCAGGTTAGACTTTGCGAACTTTCCCTTATTATCAGGTATTGAGGATCCTTCAAGCTTCCTCTTCTCGCCAACTTCAGCTTTCTCCAGACCCTTTTCCCTTATTTGGGTCTCAACATTCTTGGCTGCCCAGATGGCGGCTTACAAGGTGGTTGCTTGCTTGACCATTGGACCAAAGTCCGCTGGTAATCCATTGGCAAACTTGTTGACCTTGGAAAGTTCCGTTGGAATTAGGTAGGGAACAAGCTTCATCTTCTCTGTAAAACTAGTAGCGTACTCGGTGACGCTCAATCTTCCCTTCTTCAGATTCTGGAGCTCATTGTTGATTTCCAGAAGATCCTGCTCAGAGCAGTATTGCATCTTTAGTTGCACCACAACATCTTCCCAAGACATCTTGCTAGCTTCACCCTTGGGCATCGAACTAGCTAGTAGCTTCCACCAGTTCAGCACTCCAGACTTTAACAGAGGGATTGCGAGAGCGGTCTTCTGTCTATTGTTGCATTCGCAACTCTCGAACATTGTCTCCATTTCGGAGATCCAGTTTATCACTTCCACCGGCGTCGGGTTTCCGGATAGACACGGTGGTTTGGATGCCATGAAATCCTTGTACTTGCATCCACGCCCATCATTTCTTCCATCCTGGTTGTTCTGTCGAACTAACGGTGGGTCGGCTTGACCAATAATCCCACTGAAGTTTCCTCCTTCTAACTGCCCTCCATTCACTTCGGGCTCTTCAACTTGTACTGAAAGTTCTTCACGATTCTGCCGAAACAGACATCTAGTTTTTTCCATCTGACGATCCAACATCGTTTGAATCATCAATTGTACTCCAGCCATTGTCATCGGCTCAGGTGCTGCTGCAACAACTACTTGCTCAATCACAGGTGGTTGATTCCTGTTTTCGTTCACATTTCCAGCTCCACTCCTGGTTCTTGCCATTTTGATCCATACACCGAATAAGGCGAATTTAGATCCTCATTCACGGTAGATATTGAAATCATTATTATCACTCCGAAACGTTTACATGCTAGTTCTAATGTCGTCGTCATACGCTTAGAATCCTAAACACATAAGTTTTCCAGATCCGGTTGGCAACAAACCGTAGATCCGAACAAATAATATCATATATGGCAACATATAGCATTTAGCACATAAAAGCATTTTAGGCATCTTTCCTAAAATAAACTAGTGCTCGTGTCTAAAGTATAACAGACACTCATCTCACAATCATCGCTTAGCATTCTAAGTTTAAGTCTAGAAATCCTACAAATTCCTAGTTCGCTTAAACTAATGCTCTGATACCAACTGTGACATCCCCTTTTTCACGGCTAGAAAAGACCGATTTAATTTATGCTTTTAAAATAAAATCAGAGTAATCCTTTGATTTAAAAGAGTTGCGGAATTTGTTCCCAAAACAAAATGTGATAAGAATTTATGAAAGCATTTCTTTAAGGAAATGTATTTTTCATTATATAACAAAAATCTCGGGATGTCATGTTCCGATACAGACCAAAAGCATAAACAATACTAAATAGACCTTACAACAGTTATTTACAACTACTGATCTATAATTCAAAATATCTTCATAAGTCATCCAACTTATGCTTTGGTGCCACTTCCTGTAATACAAAGAAAAACTGAGTGGGTCAGGCTTGGGGGCCTGGTGAGCATATAGGGTTTTCAACCCACAATAATATAATTATTATATTTAATCATCAAACAAACAACCTAATTACCCATCCTCATTATCTTCTTTATTTCTACAACACTAAATCCATAACTGCCAAGGTT